TCATTCTCTGCCCTCACCGGGTCCACTGGCTTAGTAGGACACGGAGAGGTAAGTGCTAGGTCATTCTCGGACAGCGCAAGTGCCAACTCATACTTCTCTCGTCATACACGATAGTTGCCCCCTTCAAGAGGAGGAATGTGCGAGATGAATGCCATAGGGTTAAGTCCTGAAAACATCATCAGAGAAAGTGAGAAAATATAACATAATAATTGCATGGCTTAATTTATCGTTGGTCAAAATTAAAACATACAATATTCATCTACATTAATTCTACATCACTGTTGGGCAGAAATAGAATTAATGCATAAACTCATAAATAAGACATTTATAATATTGCTATCATCAACTTTGGTCAGAAAATAGCAAAATCATAAATATAACATTTTTCTACATTAATTCTATAACACCGTTGGGTAGGAATGGAATTAATGCATGAAAACAACTCATAAATATACTTATAAAATTATTATCACCAACATTGGTCAGAAAAATAACAATAACATAATTTAACTTAAACAAATATGACTACTCCTCTAATTAAATTTTCTCGTTGGTTTCAATTTAATTAGGGGATGAAACATTAACTTAGCAGCGGAAACATGTAAAATGAAATTTATCTACTTTTCAGAAGCATTTTTCTGTACTCATCTACTCTTTGGAAAATTATCCCGTTGGTTCAAATTTTGACAGAGATTTAAACCTTCAAATTTAACTAAAAATCATTCAAAATGTGCTTCTAAAAATAGATTAGACTAAACTTTCTCATATTGTTCAGTGGCCCAGTGGTGATTTTGGCCCGCGGCCCAGTCGCGCACGTCGGGCTCCCCGTGCCTAGGCCACAACCTGGGTCTAGGTCGGGAAAGTTCTTCCCCGCCTAGGCCTGGAGCCGGCCCGAAGGATCCTGGCCATCCATTTGGATCCGACGGCCACCCAGCGATGTCACGGGGACAAAACCCGTCGTCGTCATATGAGTTGTGGACAGGAAAGGAACCCCCACTTAACTATTTATGCGTGTGAGGTTGTCCAGTTGAGGCTAAAGTCTTTAATCCAAACATAGGGAATCTAGACTCCAAGACAGCCAGTTGCCATTTCATTGGCTATCTAGAAAAGTCAAAAGGTTATCGCTTTATTATCCTGACAGACATACGAAGTTTATAGAAACAAGACATGCTATGTTCTTGGAGGAAGAGTTGATCAAGGAGAGCATGGTAGCGCGAGAAATTAACCTAGAGGAGAAGCGGGTACATCTGCCTACTCCGATGGTTCAGGAGCCATTCTTCACGCTACCTGTTGTTGCTGCACCAACAGTGTAAGACACTGTAGTAACAACACCTATTGTTAGCTCTCCCGTGGTGACAATGAATGAACATGAGGAACCTGTCCTTCAGGATCCTATAGAACCTATTGTCACACATGAGGAAGAGCAACAATAGCCTCATATAGAACAAGCGTCAACTAACGAGGCCCCTAGAAGGTCTCAAAGAGTCTGGAAACCGTCCATTTCTGATGACTACGAAGTCTATGAATGTGAAGAATTTCAAATAGAGGGTGATCCCACCTCATTTGAAGAAGCCATGAGAAACACTCACTCATCAAAGAGGCTTAAAGCCATGCAAGATGAAATGAGATCAATGAATACCAACGGTGTTTGGGACTTAGAAACAATTACTAAAGGAGCCAAAACAGTAGGCTATAAATAGGTCTATAAAACTAAATATGACTCTAAAGGAAATATAGAAAGATTTAAAGCACGACTTATGACGAAAGGCTTCACGCAAAGAGAAGTCATAGATTACTATGAGACATTTTCTCTAGTCTCATGTAAGGATTTTTTTAGAATTATAATGGTGCTTGTAGCACATTATGATTTAGAATTACATCAGATGGATGTAAAGACGACGTTCCTAAACAAGGATTTGGAGGAAAATATTTACATGGCACAACCAAAAGGTTTTGTTGTGGAAGAAAAAGAACGTATGGGGTGTCGCCTGAAGAAATCTATTTACGGATTAAAACAAGCATCAAAACAGTGGTATTTAAAATTTGATAGTATAATAAGGAAGTTTGGGTTTCAAGAAAATGTAGATGACAATTGCGTTTATGCAAAGTTCAAGAATGGGAAATATATTTTCCTAATCTTGTATGTGGATGACATCTTACTCGCTAATAGTGATGTTAATCTACTACTAGAAATAAAGAAGTTCTTATCCTCGAATTTTGATATAAAGGATCTCGATGAAGCTTCGTTCATTCTAGTAATAGAGATTCACCGAGATAGAAGAAAAGGGGTTTTAGGATTATCATAAAAGGCATACTTAGAAAAGGTTCTAAAGAAATACAGTATACAAAATTGTAAGCCTTCACCGCTTTCCATAGTCAAGGATGATAGATTTCGAGAATTCCAATGTCACAAGAATTAATATGAGATCGATCAAATGAAAGCGGTTCCATATGTTTCAGTTGTCGAAAGTTTACAGTATGCTCAAGTGTGTACACGCCCTGACTTAGCGTTTGTTACCGGGTTACTTGGCAAATATCAGAGTAATCTAGGAATAGAACACTGGAGACTGGTAAAAAAAGTTTTGCGTTACTTGCAAGGCACAAAAGGCATCATGCTACGTACAGAAGATTTGATTCTCTACACAAATAGGGGTATTCAGATTCAGATTATACGGGAGATGATAGAAAGTCCACGTCAGGATATATATTTACTTTTGCAGGAGTAGCTATATCGTGGAAAAACTCCAAGCAAATAGTCACTACATCGTCTACAATGTATGCTGAGTTTATAGCGTGTTATGAGGCCACATGGCAGGTGAATTGGCTGAAGAAGTTCATGTCCGGGTTGAAAGTGGTAGACGACATATATAAGCCACTCAAGTTATACTGCGATAATAATTCAGCAGTATGTTATGCTCACAACAAGTCAAGTGGTGCTGCCAAACATATTGACATAAAGTATTATGTTGTGAAAGACAAAGTCTGAGATCATATAATTAGTCTTGAGCACATATGTATAGAAAAGATGCTCGTGGATCTGTTTACAAAATGCTTACCACCCAACGTGTTCATAGAACACTTAGCCGGCATGGGTTTAAGGGAAAGCCTATGATTCCTGGATAATAAGGGCTTAGTTGAGAATCTGTTTCAAAACATAGAGGTACATTGCAGCTGTTAATTTAGGCCCCATTCGGCTTGCTGAAATTTGGCTGAAACTGGCTGAAAAACACCGTTCTGGCTGAATTGTTGTGAGAGAAAAAACACTGTTCCGGCTGAAAAAACAAGCTGAACAAGTCGGTTTCTGGGTAAGCCGAACGGGGCCCTTATGACACTGACCGTGACGATGAGACACGCTCTATGCACTGATCTGTGATGGAATGGGTAAAAGATAAAATAAGTTAAGTTTAAATAATAAGATGAGATCAAGGGGAAGATGGTTAGTGTTGATCTCTCTAGCTCGGCCCAACGGTCGAGTTGGGCCTTGATCTCACGCACTGATCGGGGGCGTCTAACCCTACACGGTTGGTGGACCCCCGTCGCACTGCACTATATAAAGAGGTGGGGCCGACGGCTCGCGGTACAAGGTTGACCGTAGCCACAGTATCCCATCGACACAGCCCTAACCGATCAAGGGTGCACAGCAGCGGCGAGAAGTGCCGCCACCATTCTTCACCGCCTCGCCGTCGCCAGGACGTCCACACCGCGGCCGGACGTCACTGCCTCCCCTTGGCTAGCGCTCTACGTCATTGACACTGTCATTGCTTCCTCCTCTGCCAAGCCCACCGATGGTCAGCTACCTCTACAGCTCTCTCTAGTTCTCTTTTTAGTCGATCTAGGTTGTTTTATCCCAAATAGAAAAGGTTCAGCCCGCTAAATCTATGACTAGTTGATCCTGCTGTTCTAACACGAGCCTCCTAGAAGCGGTGCGACCCTCCCCGCTCCACGACCTCCATCTCCGGCGCTGCTGCTTCTCTGCTCACGAGCGGCACCGCCATCACCGTTCGTGCGCTGGGCAGGGCCCGTTCATGCTGCATCTCGGTCTTCCTCCCTCACGGCACGAGATCCACCACCTGCTCGCGCGAAGGCCTCCGTCTTCCTTCCCTGCATCTGCCCTGCTCCCTCCTTCCCTGCTCTCTCCCCTTCTATCTGGCTCCCTTCTCCCCCGCGGCCGGCGCCCCCTCCCTCGCCTCCCTCCGCATGGTAACGGATGCATGCAGATGGAGCGGTTGCGTGCTGCGCGCATCGGCAGGGCAGGTCTCGCAAGCACAAGATACCAAAGCTGCTGTCAATTCGGCGACTCGCAGTACACGCTCGGTAGCTAGTCAGCGAAACATCCCAAGGCCGTGATCGCAACCGCAAGAGATTGAAGTTAAAACACAATTGTCACGGGCGAATTGCGCAATGTCGGAGGGCGGAGCCTTTTCCATGGCTCCACTACGATGTCACTGTCTGTGGGGATTTCCTAGGCCCATGTCACCAATTCACCATGTCCTTCATTCATCAAAACAGCCTCACCACCTCCGTGCCACGGCCTGAGTCCCGGAGGGGCAACATGGTAGGCGTGGTATGGTAGGATGCATGCAGATGGATCGGTTGCGTGCTGCGCGCATCCGTGCAGCCACTCGGCCATTTGCACTCACGCTTTTGTCACAGCCTCACAGGCCAGGCCATAAATAAAGGTAGTAGAGAGGCAGCAACTGTACTACCTACCATCACATTCCTCTCCATCCTCTCCCGCGCCCGGACAGCGCAAAAGGCCACCTTTGCTTTTCTTCCTCCGACGAGGCCGGCCGGAGCTTGGGACTGATCGATTGCGGATCATTAGACATTCGGTAGGTGTGCGATCTCCATCAATCTCCTTGTCGTCTCCACACATTCCCCGCCGCTGCTTCTATATCTGACAAACGACTTTGTTTCGGCAGCGGGTCGAGGGGCACCGAGCGAGTACCGACACGGTGGTCTGCCACTGCCAGGCGCCAGCGGCCAGCCTGCAGAGATAGATGGCGTGGGCACTGAGGCTGAGGCTGCTGCTGCTGCTCGCGGTGGCGGCCGCGGCGACCGGCGGCCGCGTCGACCTGTGGCCAATGCCGGCGTCGGTCACCCGCGGCGCGCAGACGCTCCTCCTCAACAGGGACCTCAAGCTGTCCACGGCCGGGAGCAGCTACGCCGACGGGAAGGGCATCCTGAAGGAGGCGTTCCAGCGGATGGTGGCCGTCGTGGAGCTGGACCACGCCATCAACGGGACCTACTCCTCCCAGGGCGCGCCCGTGCTTGCCGGTGTCCGCGTCGCCGTCCGTTCGCCCAGCGACGTGGTGCGCACAACACAAACTGACTCAATTCTGATGGAGCCACGGGCACCCAAGAAGCGCGCCCGGAGAGCCCTGCTGCTCTCCTGCATTCTCCTGCATTCTCTCATCTCCGCGTCTTGCTGATAGATAGATTGGTCTTCTTCGCTTTTGCAGCTCAACTTCGGGGTGGACGAATCGTACAAGCTGTCTGTGCCTGCCACCGGGAATCCTCTGTATGCCCAGATCGAGGTTAGTGAACGACCTTCACTCAAATCTCAATGCCGGCCATAGCAATTGCTAGAATATACTACATACGGAGTAGTACATACAGTAGAAAGCTGACACAGAGATTTCGCTCCCTTCCTGAATGAATCCACGGAAAAGAATGAATTATTTTTCATGGGGAACAGAAAGACAAAAATGTATGTGTCGCGCACCAAGTTTGAGCCGGATGGTGACAAAGAAATCGCATTGCCCTTACAAATATGCAATGCTGGCTGTACAAATCGAAACTGTCATCAGATACCTTGCTTCCACAATACCTTGCGCTTAGCATACATACTGCACATGCAGGGCAGCTACCCTACCCTGTACACCACCTCCACCCCACATTGTCTCGAGCAACCCAGAACGCTGGTTAACATAGAAACTTACCAGATACAACCCCCTGATATGTGGAGTCATCGGGCATAAACTTCTGTGAAGAAAACTATGTTATGTCCATGCAACTGCATCATGTCCTTGAATTATTACAAACAAAATAATTTGCACTAAGCTGATTGTTGTGACTCATCGGATGACCGATTATTTGGCAGCAATGTGCAACGGCACAAACCATTATCACTTCCTGCAATAACTTATTCACTGTAAAAATTGCGACACATAATTGATGCTGTCTGTATCGAAAATTATTTTGCAGGCTCAAACAGTTTATGGAGCGCTTCATGCCTTGGAGGTAAATGAAAGTGAAACCTATGGATAAGCTAAAATCCACCGTATTATATTTTCAAGATATCTAACGTGTATTTTGTGTTAATGCAGACATTTAGTCAACTGTGCAACTTTGACTTCAATGCAAACTTGATTGAACTTCATTCAGCTCCATGGACTATCCTGGACGCTCCCAGATTCCCTTACCGAGGGCTCCTTATCGGTAAGCTAGTCTGAATTTTGCTCTATTTGAAATGGCAGGCAATCCACCTTGCATAGCATAGGCAGCGGTCTAGGATTTGATCCAAGTATGTAAGTGGAACAAATTAGATATGGAAAGAACGAATTATGGTCATGGAACTCATGGTTGCAAGATAATACTAAATTCTCTGTTTTAACGTACCAAATTTACAGATACTTCAAGGCACTATCTTCCTGTCCCAGTAATAAAAAGTGTAATCGATTCAATGACCTTCAGTAAGCTGGTACGTTTCACGTTTCCACATGCAAAGCAAGTTCATTAATTCTTAGTGCTACTCTTTCCTTTCCTGCAAAGTTCTGAACATAATATCCTTGAACTAGTTCCTGCTCAGTCATTGATGTGTGTAATCTATCATCACACAGAATGTTCTTCATTGGCATATCGTGGATGAGCAATCATTTCCGCTTCAGATACCTTCCTACCCAAAATTATGGAATGGTGCATACTCTTATTCAGAGAGATATACATTTGATGATGCAATCGACATTGTACAGTGAGTTCTGTTTTTGTCATTGTATTGGAACTATATCTCAGCAGTCATTTGGCACCTAGACCTAAACTTTTGATTGGTAAACAAAAATATGCCAGCGAAACTGTGAAAAAGCAACATTACTATAGTCTGAAAAGGAAACTCAAAACAATTCCAAATATTCATCCTTTGCTTAGACTCAACTGTAGAGATTACTTATCTATGCTGCTGGATTTCCCCAAGTTAAGATGACATATCAGGGATTGACAGGTATGCTGAAAAACGAGGCGTGAATGTCTTGGCTGAGATTGATGTACCTGGCCATGCTCTTTCATGGTAATACATTGTGTGTTGGTGTTGTGTTTGTGGGTGTGGGTGTGTTTGGGTCTCTGTATGACTCCTTTCTCTTCTATTAATACAATGATACGCAGCTCTCCTGCGTATTCGGAAAAAAAAAAAAATTTGTGCAACATTACTCTTGTCTAGAAAATGGATAATTTTTTTCGAAATTTATTGATACAAAAAATTATTTTGCTGTGTTTATCATCTGCACACTCTCGTTATACTTTTAGTATGTAGAAAGTACGTTTTATCTTGCAGATTAAATGATACAAATATATTTAAAATTGAACATACCTAAAAAATTGTTGAAATTTGGTGCACTTCTCTTGTTTCAGGGGTGTCGGATATCCATCATTGTGGCCATCGACTACATGCAAAGAACCGCTTGATGTCAGCAATGACTTTACATTTCAAGTGATTAATGGAATTCTTTCAGGTTGTGCTCTGTCAAAATGAATTATTATATATTTAGGCCCCCATTCAACACTTGAAAGATCAACTAATATACACCTTCATGGTTTTGCCATAAACTAGAATGAAATGGCACTCTATACTAAAGTTCAGCAACAAAAAAGATGCTTCAATGGCCAGAATTATGAGTCAGTCATTGTAGGAAAGAACATATATGGCCTCGTATAATACTGAATCAATGGCATTACCTTTGGTTGCCTTTTCAGATTTCAGCAAGGTTTTTAAGTTCAAGTTTGTCCATTTGGGGGGAGATGAAGTAAACACAAGTAAGCTTGGAGAATTCTGTACTGTACAACTGATCTATGTATGCTAGAATCTATTCATTCTTTATTATGATGTCAGGTTGCTGGAGTACCACACCACACATTAAGTCATGGTAAGAAATTATCTTATAATATAGCAAAGAAATAACAGGAAATTTTGCTAATGTGATATGAAAATTGATAACCTTTCTGTTTGTTGTAATTGGTAAAAACAACAAACTGCCCCGGCTCGGTCATCTAATCTGATCAGAACTCTTTTTCCTGTTTTGCAGGTTGCTGCAACATGGCATGAATGAATCTGATGCCTACAGATATTTTGTATTGAGAGCTCAAAAGATAGCAATATCACACGGTTATGACATCATTAACTGGTAGGGTGACTGGTGTTACAAGTTTTTTGCAGATTAAAATGCCCGACTAATTCTAACAAACCGTTTCTCATCCTTGTAGGGAAGAGACATTTAACAACTTTGGAGACAAGCTGGATCGTAAAACTGTGGTGCATAACTGGTATTTCCTCACAGCCTATTGCTCAGGCACTTGAGAAATATTTAGTAGCATCCTTGTTGGAAAATAACATCTGGCATAAGACCATGTACCCCTGGCTCATTTGTACCAACAAATTTATTAGTGCAAACCAGACATAATTCTTAATTAAAAAACCGCACTGATTTATATCCACAATTTTAAATAGAGGGCTATGGAAGTTTCACCCCTAACCCTAAGTAATAGGAGCACATCACATGAACAGATTCGTTATAGTCACGTGCTGAAGTAACCGTGTTAGTTCTTCCTCATAACTTGGTAGGCTTGGAAGTGGAGTTGCAGAGAAAGTGGTTGCTGCTGGTTTGAGATGCATCGTAAGCAACCAGGATAAGTGGTACCTAGATCACTTGGATGCTACATGGGAAGGATTTTACACGAATGAACCACTGACAAATATCTACAACCCGGAGCAGCAGAAATTAGTACTTGGTGGTGAGGTATGCATGTGGGGTGAACACATTGATGCATCAGACATTCAGCAGACCATTTGGCCACGTGCTGCAGCAGCTGCAGGTATGATCAGCTCAATATGTTTTGACCTAATTTTGCCTGCATTAATACTTTAGCAGATCCATTCTTATAAAATAGCAAAATTAAGTAGACTAGCAGTCACGATGTACTGTGATACAGACATTCTATTCTTGGGTTATATAGTAGCACATAGATCATCTTGGGTTCACAAGGGACACAATATCTGCGCCAAGGCAGTTGATGTTCTCTTCGCATACCCAGAACATAAGCAATGAAAAATTTGAGCAGTAATTGCTACCAACCTGTCAGAATGGGGATCTTTCATAACCAAGTGCTCTGATGTGCTTCGTTGTATTGAGAGAATTGGGACTTGGGAGACACGCATCACACCATAGCTAACAAACTGAAACATTTATTCTTTCTTACTTTAAGCGAACATGGATGTATATGCAGACTACAAAAAGACTAGAGCATGCCTGCATAGTACTAATGTACATGCCTGGATAGTATGAAAGGCATAATAAGTTAAGTCTATCAGGTTTCTAAACACTCATAATTACATTTATTAACAATGTATAGTTTTGTTTTGAGTTATCTCGCCAAAAAAAAAGTGAAGTTAAATAACCTGTATGTCTGTATCAAGTTGCCCTGACTCACCACATCACTTACTGATTTGAAGAGCGGTTATGGACACCAATTGAGAAGCTTGCGAAGGACACAAGATCGGTCACTGCAAGATTGGCACGCTTCAGGTGCTTGCTGAATCAAAGAGGGGTTGCTGCTGCACCACTAGCTGGTTATGGCCGCTCAGCACCATCAGAACCAGGTTCCTGCCTAAGGCAGTAGATATTTATAACAGGTGCATACATTATTCATAGAGGAGAATAAACACAATTCCAGGCATCCAATTTACTTCTCTGAGCAATCAAAAATAGCTCGGATCAATGTAAGGCGAACCCGCAGAATGTTCCTATTTTCTTTATCTGATGCGGTATATTCATTTGGAGATATCTGGTCCTGTTTTACTTTCAGTGTACGGTCATGAATATCAAGATTTGGTTTCATACCACGAATGAAACAAAAAATCTTAGCATCTGTTCTAAAAAAAAAAGATGCTCCAACAAGTTGACAAGTGCCACAATGATCGAAGAAGCACACTAATACATTCAGAAAATCCCCGATATCAGATAACTACTTGGGTTGGGTAACTGCTTGCAGCAGTGCAGTTCCCAGACAAGAGGAACTCCTCTATTTATGATGCCAAATACGGGCCTGTTTGGAACGCAGGAATAAAAAAAAACAGAGGAGAGGAAAATGCAGGAATGAGATAGATGTGTTATGACAAAACAGAGGAATGGAAAAACACAGAAAATGAATAGGATGAGGCGTTCGGAATGAAAGAAATTGGTGTAGGAATATTTTAAACATTGAAACTGACTGAAAGCTACCAGTACTCGGTTATAAATCCACCCAGCAGACGATAACCGCGCGGCTGCATTGGGCTTCCGTGAAGGAACGAAAAACCAGAGACAGGAGTAGATGTTTTCTTTCCCGTGACATCATATTGTTGCTACAGTATTCCAGAGGAAAGGATTCGCTCCTTTCCTTTGTTCCAATCGCTATGACCATCTTCCTTTCCTCCGTTTTGATTTCCTTCACTTCTCCTATGAAAAAACCGTGTTCCAAACAGGGCCTACAATTGGCAACTGCCATCCTTAATTCAACGACGCAATATGCTAGTAGCGCTCAAAATTTGTGACTGAATTTATCAACTATCATGTTGACGAAATATGGTCGGCAGTCTACCGAGGGGTATACCCACAATAGTAGATAAATTGGTGGAGGTGCGCGTGATAGGAACCGGACGGTGACACAGAACGCGTGAAACAACGTTTAGGCAGGTTCGGGCCGTCAGCTCGACGTAATACCCTACATCATGTGTCTTTGGTGGATTGTATATTGATATGAGGTGAAAACGGGGGGTCCCTACCCGTCTTATATAGCACGGGGGTAGGGTTGCAGGTCGGTTGAACCTAACCCTGATCGGTTACATGATAGGAATTACAAAGATTACATAATCTAGCATATCCGAACAGATTTTCCTTGATCGCCAAGGATCTTCACATAGCCTTGCGGGGCACGCCGACCTATGTCGTGCTCCGCCTGGCGTAGTATCACGGGCTAGGCCTTCCCTGGCGGCTCGGCCCATGTGCAGTCCTGTGGGTACCCGGGGTTATACCCTCATAGCTAGTCCCCGAGCGTCTTGTATCCGCTGAGCAACACCATGTTGAGCTTGTCCGAGCTGTTCAACTTGTTGCTGACCACCAGGAGCAGGCTTCCAACCAGTTTAACTAGGAGCTGAGGTGTTGAAACAAACATCTGAGCTGTTGAACACGCCATCCGAGCTGTTGAACACGTCGCCCGGGCTGTTGAAGCAGATGCTCGAATAGTTCAACTGGTTGCTGAACCCGGACTCACTCGAAGTTGACAGAAGGATGTGAGGAGCTCAAATACATTTTTTTGAAGTCTTCACCTTAGGTGAAGTATGCCCACTTAGCTTCCTAGTGGCGAAGTTGGACGCTTAGCGTCCCTGACTTAGTCAGCGTAGAGGAACTTAGTCCCTCAAGAGCGAAGAGAGATGATTGGCATCCATGCCTTAGGCAAAATGGACTCTTAGAGCCAACCGTAAAACGACGATCATCACCCACGACTTAGTCGTGTCAAAGTGTGTCGGGTGCTAGAAATGAGCACATTCACCGCAAGGTGAAGTATGCTCACTTAGTCCCCGAGCCTGACAGTAGGTGAAGCATTCACGTGGTGCCAGGGTCTAGAAAAGTAGTCCACAGGTGCTAACCCAGTCCCCAGCTTAGCTAGGCACCAGTCCTCAGCTTAGCTGAGATTAAGCAATGTAGAAAATAGTACAGTCATTGCAAGATGACGTGTACACACGTAGTCCCCGAGCCTGCTAGATGATTGAGAAGAAATCTTGTAGCGGGGTCTGAAAAAAAATCTTGCTCCAAAGTTTCCAAGTAAATCGGCAAAACAGTGCTCAGCACTTAAGTCTGTTTGGCAGCCCGCGTACGACGCGGATTCACTTATCAAAACACTAGGCCCAGTTAACGGCCCAGTGGGGCGTGGAGGTTTCGGAAGTGGGAACGGCGCGGCAGGCGTGGTTTCCTAAAAACCCTGAAAGCCGAAAAGTTGGGGTCGAACTGTTATAAAGGCGCCGCGGCGCCCACACACACTCCCCACCATTTCCCAATCGCATCGTCTTCTTCCTCGCACTCTCGCCTCTGCGCCTTGCAACCGCTCCGCCATTAGGGCTACACCAAGTGTAGAAGCTTTCTCTTCTTCTTAGATCTGCTCAATGGCGCCGAAGAGGAGCCGCGGGAGCTCGAGGGCGGCGGCGCGCAGGATCAACCACGAGGAGGAGTGGGCGCAGTCCGTCAGCGACGAGGCGGCGCTCAACACCCTGGTAGTGGACGGCATGCTGCCCGATAGGGTAACGCTAGATGGCGCCCTACGTTCGATGAGGAATTCCCCACACCCCGCACCAATGAATTAGTTGTCTTCAAAGATTACTTCTACCGAGGATTTGGTGTTCCCATTCATCCCCTTCTTTGTGGGCTGATCGATTACTATAAGATCAGTCTCTGCAATCTTAGCCCGAATTCCATTCTTCATGTTGCCATCTTCATCAATTTTTGCGAGGCGTATCTGGGAATCCTTCCCCATTTTGACCTCTTTCATCATTTCTTCTGCCTCAAAATCCAGGAGGATCCAGATCTAGGGTTGTCGGCGGCGCGTATTTGTAGCTTCACGATGGAATGGCAAGTCAGTACATCGTCATCTCGCTCAACACAAATGTGGGCGTCGAAGTGGTTTTACATTAGGCGGGTGGAGCCATATGTGGTGTGTGACGTGGACCAGATCCCAGCGACAAACTCCAAGTGGTCAGAGAGGTCGGGCTCCGATGGGATGGAGCAGGTGAGGGACCTCCCGAGGTTGATCAATCGTAAGAGTTTGGACGAGTCATTGTGGCGACGAAGTTCACATTCCGGTGGGTTCTGCCCTGCAAGGAGAGGGCACACCCCGGTTATGAGTTCCGAGGAGACACCGACGGAACCCGGGAGGTGCCTGAGGAGATTGACCGGGACGAGGTCAAGCGCCGGATCTCGATGCTCTTTAATCTCGCAGGTCAGTTGTCCATCAAGGACCAGCAGCGGGCCTACATCGTCGGGAACCTCCCTCCAGCGGTAAGAGTCTTTTGCAATGTTCACTTGATCATTCTTGTTGCACGATGTATTCATTCGTGTTATTGAAGATTCATGGGCAGGACCGCGCGATGTACTTCTCGGCAATCCTATCGGAGGACTGGCCGAGAGCCGTTGATGCATGACCGAGCAGTCCCCAATGTTGTATGAGCACGGATGCTGACGACGAGGGGTCGGATAGCCGTGGAGCCAGAAGTGATGACGCGCGGATGGAATATGTCTGTGAAAAGTTTCGTGGGAAGCGGCCGACTAACGAGGAGCCGTCCGTGAAGAGAAGAAAAACGGCAAGGTCCTCCTGAGGTGAAGAGGGGCCGGTTAGCATTGGTGGTTCCACCCAGCCTCGAAGGCGGCAGATGGTGCTATCGGACACGTATGAGGACAATGAGCCGACGATGCCTCCTCCTCCAAGCACCGAGACGCCTCCGCCGGCTGCCCCGGCAAGGACGGAGACGTAGGAGTGGCAGCGAGCACTGGATGCCACGGCAGCAGTCCCCGAGGGTGCTCGGGGGACCACGGCGGCGGCGGCCGGGACTGGCAGATAAGTCCCCGAGCCGACACAGGTGACCCCCGCTCCAGTCCCCGAGCCTACTCGAGTGGGGACGCCTATGGCAGTGGGGATGACTAACCTGAGGATGGCGGAGGTGCCAAGTGTCTCTATCACGGGGTAGGGTGGTTCAGGCATGGCATGCCAGTTCAGGATGACCTGGCGTGAATCACAATTGTAAGTTTCCTTCATGCTCATATTTTTGCGAATACGAGAATGTTGCTTGATAAGTTGTTTCCTGGTTGTAGCGCGGAGTCGACAAAAGAGCTGCAGCCATCGGCTGCTGACAACGGGTAGTGCACAGTGGGGCTAGAGGCTCCTAGCACCGAGGAGGGACAAGCAGAGGCGGATCCAGTCGCCACCACCATGGAGGAGATGCCCGCTGCGAAGCCAGTCGCCCCTGCGATGGAGGAGCCGCCAGCCACCGGGCCGACCTCTCCTGGTGGTGGGGAGCATG